TTTGTTGATGGGCACTTAGGTTGTTTCCAACTCCTTGCTATTGTGAACAAAGCTGCAGTGAACATGGGTGTGCAGTATTTCAAGCTTTCAGCACACAAGGTTGTGTCATCTGCGTAACTCAGGTCGTTGTCTTCCTCCAATCCTGATGCTACGTCTTCTCCATGAAGTCCAGCTTCTTTCCAGTTTCTTGAATGACCTGTTCAGCATATAGACTGAAAAGGTGTGGAGAAAGGACACAACCCTGATGCACACCCTTCCTGATGTTAAATCATACAGTGTTCCTTGGTTCTATTCAAACAACAGCTTCTTGGTCTAGGTATAGGTTTTGCATGAACACAATTAAGTGTTCTGGGGTTCCTACTCTTCTCAATATTAATTATAATCCACATAGTCAAACAACTTGATATAATCAATAAAACACAAGTAAACATCTTTCTGGTATTCTGTGCTTTCATCCAGGATCCCTGACATTAGCAATGATATCCTTTGTGTCATGGCCTCATCTGAATCCAGCTTGCATTTTCTGGTAGTCTTCTGTCAATATATCGTTCTAGCCATTTTTAAAATAATCTTCAGCAAGATTTTACTTGCACGTGATATTAATGATCTTTCTTATCGGACAATTTCCAGTCTGTTGGATCACCTTTTCAGGAATGGCAATGGCAATGAACATGGGTCTCTTCCAGTCAGTGGCCAGGTAGGTGGTGTCCTGTTTGTTGAGAAAGACTGGTGAGTCCGGCCAGGGTGGTATCTGTGTCCTGAAACAACTCAACAGGTATTTCCTCCGTTCCTGGGGCCTTATTTTTCTGCCAATGCCTTCAGTGCAGCTTGAACATCTTCCTTCAATACCACAGGTTCTTGATCATATGCTGCTTCCCGAAACGGTTCAGTGTGGGCCAGTTCTTCAGGGCGCAGAGACTCTGGGTATCCCTTGCATCTTCTTTTGAAGTAACCAACATCACACAGCCTACAGCTGAACGCCACACACCGACTCCTAGTTACCTCTGTCAGGTTTCTACGGCTATAAACCCTTAAGGAGGGCACTGCCCATCTCAGGTGGCCTCGGACCTCTGACCTTTCAGGAAACAGTGTAACATACTACGTCACCAGAACTCCTGAGAAAGGATGAATGAAAAGACAAGAGGTCTCGCTGGTGGTGCTTTCTATCCTGACCTTGGAGAAGGAACACTGAGAAACTAGGGTGCAGCACAGCCAGTGTGCCCCCCACAGTGCCAGGAAGGACACCAGCCTGGAGGGGCTCCCAGCACCCAGTCAGAATCATCATTCCCCCAGGGCACCATCTTGGCCTTATTCCCAAGAGCAAGGAGCACACTGTTGATGCAAACAACCATGCACGAACATGCACGGCCATGGACGACATCACTGTCCACACAGACGGCAGTGCACGACCATGGACAACACCACTGTCCACGCAGCCAGCCATGCACAACCATGGATGACATCACTGTCCACACAGATGGCCAAGCATGACCATGGACGACATCACTGTCCACACAGCCAGCCATGCATGACCATGGATGACATCACTGTCCACGCAGCCAGCCATGCATGACCATGGACAACATCACTGTCCACACAGACGGCCGTGCACAAGCACCCACGGCCAGCATCACTCCCCACACAAACGGCCATGCATGACCATGGATGGCATCATTGTCCACGCCGACAGCTGTGCACACAGACGGCTATACCAAGTGCCCATGGGCGGCATCATTGTCCATGGTAGCCGAGGGCCAAAGAGCCACAAGTCCAGCCTTAGGTGAACAGACAGACCAACGTGGTACGTGTGTGCAGTGGACACCACACAGCAAGAAGGGACACGGTGTTCTGACAGCATGGCTCAGCCCTGAACACTGGACACTGTGTGGCTACAATGACAGCAAATGTCACAGGCAGGGCAGGTGGGTGGCGTCCAGGACCAGGGAGCGACTGCTATGGGCACGGGCTTCCTTCTGGGGTGAGAGAGTCTGGTCATGGACTGTGGACGTGGCCTCACAGCCAGGCAGCATCTGAAAGCAGCAGGCGGAGTGAAGTCTGGCACAGGACCCACAACTCAGAGAAGCTGGCCCAGCGTCGCAGGGTCCTGGGTCAGTCCAGGACTTGTTCTCAGGAGGGAGCAGGCAGTGGGCCTGGTATGGGAGGGATGCCCCCCTTTTGTGCCTCCATGTGGGCTGTGAGCCCTGTGCTGAGACATCAGAATCGGCCCTCCTCCAGCCCCCTCCCCTCCTCTATGATCTACACCTCTCCCCCAACTCCAGCCCTCTGCCCTCAAGTCCATACCCCCACCATTCCCACTGTCAAACCCAGTCACACTGCTCCACTTCCAGTCCAGCCCCTGACCTTAAACTAGCGCTCACACTAACGTGACCACTCTCCCCTCCACCTGAGAGCCTGTGGGCACCCCCGCCCACTGGGCCCCCTGCCCTCCACTAATAGGTGGAGACCTGAGGCCCGTGAGGAGAAGGCAGAGCTGAGAGCTGGAGGAAGGAGCTGCTCGAAGAGATGGGTTTCAGCCATCAATATTTCATCATCATCAATAATTCCAGCTACCTGCCTGCCAGCCACGGGTGAGAGGCTGCCCACTGAGCACCGTCCCAGACACTAAGGCCACTCCTTTAAACTGGGAAACAGGCTCGGGCAAAGATTACACCTGTCAAAGGTGTCAGGCCTCCTGCCTACAGGAGAAAGTGCCCAGCTTGGTGCTCGACCCCAGAGCCCTGCCAGGACCACCTGGGGTCAGCCTTAGTTTGGGACCACGCCACCTCAGCTCCCACCAAGGTGCATGCCGCCCCACCCCCACCCAGAGCTTCAGGCTACCCTCCCCTCAAACCCTCCTCCACCAGCACCCTTGGTGAGCCCCTCCCCCACACTGAGCCCCACATCCTGCTGAGCTCCGGACCCACACGAGTCTATTTTCACTGCCACGCCCCCAGAGGAGCCCACACCAGCCCCACCTTCTGACCACATCCCAAAGAACCCCTCAGAGTGGGCAGGCCTCAAACTGTCACAGCTCTCTGCATCCCTCCCTGTCCTGTCCACACCTGCCAAACCCAGGTCTCTAATCCCCAGTGGTGATCCCCTCCCCATCCTCACCTCCACCTAGGGAGCCCTGCACCCCTCCCCCACCCAGGGAGCTCTGCACCCCCACTCTACTCCCACCCAGTGAGCCCTGTACCACCCCCACACTCAGTGAGCTCTGAACCCCATCCTCACCCCCACTCAGTGAGCTCTGCACCCTCACCCCACTTCCAACCAGTGAACCCTGAAACTCCTCCCTCAATTCACCCCCATTCAGTGAGCCCTGCACCCACTTCAACACACACTCAGTGAGTGCTGCACCCCTCCCTCAGCCCAGGGCTCCCACCACCCTCAGGACCCCATCCATGAGGCACTGTGTGTGTCTTGTCTTGGCAGGCAAAGCTAGCTAGAGGCAGGACACTGAAGCTCAATGTCCCCAAATGAACCTGGCCTGCTCTGTCCACTCTCTGAGCTCCTTAAAGCTGCACCTGCAGGGGGAGCTGCTGAGCCGGCAGCAGAGCCGCATTTGAACTAGACTGTCCACCAACACCACAGCCCCCACCTGCTGGAGCTGCCCTTGGCCTCAGGCAGAGCACGCACAGCCCTGACCCAGCTCTGGTTCCAGGCCTCCGCCCAGCTCTGTCCTGCGACATCCTCTTCGCCAGCAGGGACCTGGCAGGCAGGGCGTCCCCAAGCCCTGGCTGACCTGTCCACCGACCTCACTGGGATGGAAGCCACATTCAGGCACCTCACTCTTGACACCCAGCCCTGACTGGCTCCTGTGCCTCACAGTCTGTCCGGCTGGGGCACCAACCTGAGCCCTCAGTGCTGGTGAACGTCTAACTCCCAGCCACCCTCCTCAGCCAAGGCTGCCTGCCTGGTGCCGCTCCATTAGACCTGCTGCAGGTGGACGTGAGGCCTCTACCTGGACTGTACCTAGAAGCCTTCTGGTCACCCAGCCCAGAGGAAGCCCGGAGGAAGGGCTGGCCCGGCTCAGCTGGGCCCCATATCCGGGCTGCAGGGGGTACTTAAGGGGAGCAGGTCTGCTGGAGAGACAAAGAAAGCCCACTCCCTGTAGGTCTTAACTGGGGTGGGATGCCACAGGGCAAGAGGCCACTGGGGGCAGTAGGATGAACCCAGGCACGGCAGCCTAGGCCACAGGGATGGGGGTACCCAGGACAAGAGTACAGTCGGGTAGACAGGACTAGCCTGGGCCCTGCAGCCTGGCCGGAGAGCCTGAGGGCAGACCAGAGAAACAGCTGGAGAGGCACGAGGATGGGGAGGCAGAGGGGCAGGCCTCCCCAGAGGCAGGGCCATCTATTATTCATGTCTGCCAGGGCAGCTCACAGCCTTCACCCCGTTAGACAGCATCAATAATGCAGGCCCAGGAGGCCGCGCCCACAGCCACACCCTGAGAGCACCAGGCCACCAGACTGACTGTCCATGGCCGGTCAGAGATGGTCTGAGGCCTTGCTGGCAATGGGGGGTTTAGACGAGACATGTCTACAATACCGAGCCCAACAGTCAGGCCTGGTCAGAGGGCCACTGTGCTGGTGATTCCAAACAGCTTCCAGGAGGGGAGGCCATTCGTGCCTGGTCCCTGCCCAGCCACGGTGCCAGCAGAGGTCCTTGCTGGGCACATGCTGCCCCAGTGAACAGCACCCTGATTGCCCAGGGGGCCAACTGTGCTCTGTGGACTGAGGGGTCAGCAGCACGCACCCTGGCACCACCAGGCCGACGAGCCAGCCCTAATGGCAGGTGGAGATCCCTACCTCTGGGTCCCGCCCTGCCCTGCCCAGTGTCACTTGAGAGGTCACATCTTGGGCACAGAGGCAGTTCTACCACTGGCCAGTGAGAGAGCCATAAGGGCTGCAGGGAGAGGGGACAGGCAGGGGGTTCAGGGTTAGGAGGAGAAACTATGTCTGTCTGTCTCCTGTTGGACAGGACGAGATGCTATGAGGCTGAGTTCCTTTAGTGTCCAGGGAAGAAGGCTGTCACCTTCACCCACACCCTCACCCACCACAGGAGGCCCCCCAGTGTCCTCACCAAAGAGATGGGTGCAGAGGCTGAGCTGGGCCAGCCCCCACCCCACCCCCGTGAAGAAGCAGGAGTCCAAGCTGAGACAGCCCCTACCATCACTCCATCAGAGAACTGGGTGCAGGGATCAATCCCTGCCCCCACCCCACTGTAGGACTAAGGCCCAGAGCCCAAGCCGGGGCAGCCCCCGCCATTGCTCCACCAGAGGAAAGGGGCACAGAGGTCAACGCCGCCCCACCCGAGGGCCAGCCATGCACTCACAGGGTCCCTCAGCTCCTCGCTGTCGCGGGGTGTAGTCCGAGGGATCTTCAGGGGAATCTCATCCCCGCATTCAGTGTCCGAGGCGTTGGGGGACTCTGCCAGGTCGGGGAAGTCTTCTCTCTTGTGACCTCTGAACCGGATTTTGTCCAGCCTCCTTAGCATGGTCAGCACTGAGCCCCTCTGCTTCACCTTAACATGACGATCGGAGTCCCTGAGGGGAGAGTGGAGGGTGTGGTCACATACCTTGTCTTCAGTCCCCTGTGGTCCGCCCCCAGCCCCTCCCCAGTGGCCGGCCCCTCCCCATTTGACCTGGCCCGCCCACTGTGACCAGCCCCTCCCCCTGTGGCTCCGCCACCCCCTGTGACCCAGCCCAGTCCACCCTGGGTGGTGGGGTCTACCTCTGGGAATGTGTCCCCCGACACTGCGCACTTCCCTCTTCCCACCAAAGTCCAGACATCCCTCATGCCCATTTGCACATTTCCCATTTTAACTTTGAACAATTTCTCTTTTTAATAGGAAGTATACAACAGAGTGGGCAATATTTGCTACACATACGAAATACGAATATTAAGAGTTTTGTTATGAAAGAATTTGAACAAAATGATAGAAAGTACAAAAATCCTCAGGCCACAAATGAGTGGAATCCCAAGCAGAGAGGGTCCACAGCCCTGCTGGCCCACCCACCAGCACACACAAGGGGCTCAGGGGAGCAACAGTCTACCTGAGGGCTGGCAGGTCAAACCCACCCTACAGAACCACGGAAGAAAGGCCTGGCAACCAGCCCCCTATAAGATAACAGCCAAGAAAGCTCCAAGAGGCAGTTCCCCTCTGTAACACACAGGGGCGCTTTGAGCAGGACCAACTCGCACAGGACAATAACACTGTTACAGCCTTCCACCCCACTGAGGGTCCCTGCCAGAGTACAGAAAAACAAGCATGGAACAAAAAGCAAAATCATTAACAAGACCAGCTTCACTGTCTGTCAGAGACTACGGCTTAGTCACCCTTCAAGCCTGGAACTAGACTCATCCCTGATGTAACCGCCAGGCCCACAACAGAGAGACCTGTGAGGTGATCGGAACACCAGGGAGGAGCATAGTTCTTACAAAAACCATCCAGCATGTGTCCAGAAACAAAGCTGAGAAGGAGGCAGGGAAGGCTAGGACAGAAGGCAGAAAGGAAACAAGAAGCCCAGGGAGGAGGTGGGTCGAGTGCTGTCACACGTGGGGGTGTGCTCCTGTCATTAAACAACACGCATAAGTGGCTGAACAGAAAACCATTCTCTCTGTAAACTTACACTCAAACAACAGCAAAGCATTAATAATAATTATTTTTTAAAGGGACAGAAACAAGTATTAAAGCACACGGCCAATGCATTAAAGTGACTAACACGGTGACAGTGTTTGAAATGATGAGTCCCCAGAGACACTCTCCTAGGAACAAACTCAGACCAAGGACCGTCCAACGGCCACAGACACCCAGGAGGGCTTCAAGGAAGCAGATCAAAACCCAGCCCCAAAGGGCAGTGACCCCCAGGGACAGAGCAGGATGTCCAGAGGATCCCGGCTTGTCATTACAGAAGCAGACTGCCTCAGGGACCCCCAGGGACAGAGCAGGACGTCCGAGGGTCCCGGCTGCTCACTACAGAAGCAGACTGCCTCGTCTTCCATCCAAGGTCTGGCTGGTGGATTTGAGCTGCCGACCTTTCAATTCATTGCCTGATGCTTTAGCCCCTGAGCCAGTAGGTCTACACCATGGCGATGGGAAATGAAAACTCCAAGGGCCACAGGAGGTGGCACACAGGTGGCAAAGATAGAAAGACCTCATCCTTGCAAGCAATCAGGAAAATGTGGTTCAAACAATCACTAGGTACATTTAGTTCATCTATGAAATTGGTAGAATCACTCAGATGGATAATAGCCAGTCTTGGGAGGACTGCCCACAACGCCGGTGTGGGACAAGCTGGCATGGCCCAGCTGAAAGGTCGGCTCAAGCCTGCGGGGTGCAAGCACGATCCTCGGGGCTCATTCTCAGACAGTGTCGGGGGCCTGTGGGAAACTGCCGTCCAGGAAATTATTCTCAGTACTATTTTTAAACGGTTCCAATTTCTCAGTCTCACGAACACAGTCCAATTGTTTTTGCGCACAGACAAGCGCACCCCTACAGAATCAGAAGCGGCTCTGCCAAGTCAGAGAGGCTACACATTACAGCCCTGTGTCCACGGACATTGCCTCCACGCTGGCTTTGCTAGTTCCATCGGCGACCAGAAGGCCTGGCGGGTGCCTGCAGCTGTCTGGTCAACACTCACCTTTGCCTCTTGTTACCAACCGTGGAGGAGATGCCAACATCACAGCTAAACACTTGGTCTCCCTAAGCTCGCGCTCTCTAAAGAGCTCTGGTGGCACTGTGTGTAGCGTGTTGCACTGCTAACTAAAAGGTCTTCAGTTCTAATCCAGCAGCTTCCCGGGAGAAGCGTGGCAATTTCCTTCTGCACAGATTTACCACCTCAGAGACCCAGGCGTGGAGGTCAACAGACGGTGAACTGGAAAGGTCACTCTAAGGAACCTGGTAAGACCTCAGTGCCCTGCACCCCAGATGCAGTGAGGAGTATCCTGTGACACTCCCTCTGACCATGTTGAGACAGCAAGGGGTGGAGAGATCCCCGAGCACCGGTGACAAGGGCGGTGTTAGAATCCCACAGCTGCCTTGGCAGAATGACAGACGTTCTCCTCCCGTAAATGTACAACCCCATGGGAGTCATTATGAGGGCAGAGTGGACTCAGTGGCGGGGGGCTGGAGGTTTAAGACCACCACAGGAGCCCTGCTAAGTCCCAGGAGTGTAGGGTGTCAGCCTGCTAACTCAAAGGTCAGTGGTTCAAACCCACTTGTTGCTCCCCTGGAGAAAGAGTTTCCTGACGGGAGAAGGCTATGGGCTGGAATCGACAGCAGTAGGATCACTATGGAAGCCGTGGTGGTACAGTGGTTAAGCACTCAGCCACTAACCGTGATGTTGATAGTTCAAACCTACCAGCCGCTCTATAATGAAGTGCTGTGCTTCTGTACCCCAAGGGGCAGTTCTGCTTCGTCCTATGGGCCTCTATGAGTTGGAACTGATGCCATGGCAATGGGGATTTTAGTGTCACGAGTAGGACAACAGCCTCCCGCTCCAGGTCGAGGTTCCGCATGAGCACAATAAAGTGCTCTGGGATTCCCATTCTTCTCAACCTCAGCCACAACTTGTCACGATCCACATAGTCAAACGCCTTTGCACAGTCAATGCAGCACAGACAGACATTTTTCTGGTATTCTCTGCCTCTCCCAGGATCTATCTGACAATAGCAATGATATTCCTGGTGCCACGGCCTCCTCTAAATCCTGCTTGAACTTTGAGCATTCCTGTTATGTGCTGTTCTAGCCATTTTGGATAATCCTCAGGTTTTATTTGTGTGTGAGATTAGTGATATTGTTCAATAATTTCCACATCAGATCACCCTTTTCTGAGAATGAAAACAAATAAGGATTTCTTCCAGTGGGCTGGCCAGGTAGCTGTCTTCCAAACTTCTGGTCATGGCCTGGTGAGCACGCTTCCTGAAGAAGACCAAAGACGACAACTTTCAATGTGGATTACATCCCTACATTGCTATTGTTGTTGTTGGCGGTGGTGTTGTAGACCGCAGTCAGAATCCACCCACAGCTGACCCTCTGGAGGGTTCTGGGAGGCGGTAATTACACAGGAGGAGACTGCCCATCTTTCTCCCGCTGGTGGCCTTGACCTGTGCCTTTGTAATTACAGTGCAGCTTCTTGGAAACGGAATAAAGCTGTAACTTTAGCTCTGCTCACAGCCCAGGTGAGTGTCAGATGCTTAGGTAGTAGGCAGTCTGCTCTGGGCTCAAGGCCTTGGCTTCACCATGGGGTCAGTAGCCAACATTATATGATAGATAGAGAAAAGATTGAAATTGTCAATGATTTCATCTTGCTTGGATCCACAATCAACACTCTTGTTACTAGCAGACGTTTTGGAAGAAATCAGAAGAAATACCGCACTGGGAAAAATCTGTTGTCAAGGACTTCTCCAAGATGCCCAGGAGCAACAATGTCAGTTTAAAGACTAAGGTGCACCTGACTCAAACCACAGTCTTCAGTTACTTCCCACGCATCTGAAAGGTGGGCAATGAATAAGGATGGCAGAAGAATCCACGCCTTTGAGTGGTGGTGTCAGAGAAGAGTGCTGAACAGCGTCTGGACTGTCACAGGAACAAACAAGTACGTCTTGAGGAAAGTGCAGTGCAGGTGCTCCCTAGATGGATGGCACGGCTTCATTTGTTAGGAAGGGCCCAGCTTTGGAAAAAGAGTCACGCTCGGAAAGGTGGGGGGTCGGTGAAAGAGAGACACTCAACAAGATGGACTGACGGTGACTGCAGCAATGGGCCTGAGTGTCAGGGACGAGGAGGAGGTCACTGGACAGGTGACCTCCACACAAAGGCGACTCGACAGCCCCTGGCAACAGCATGGTCAGACCTAACTGGACGTGATGGGCTGGGGTCTCAGGTACCAGGAGGCCTCCGTGTGCAACCCACTAGGTCAGTTCTCTCAGCTGTTAACTGAAAGGCTGGAGTCTGAGTCCTCCCCCAGGTGCCTCAGAAGAAAAGCCTGGCTGTTAACCTCCTAAACCAACCTCTGAAAGCCCAGCAGAACACGGCTCGCTCTGACATGTGGGAGGACCCAATGGAGCACTACCCCCCTCTGACACACGGGAGGACCCAGCGGAGCACGGCCCCCCTCTGACACACGGGAGGACCTAGTGGAGCACAGCCCCCCTCTGACACATGGGAGGACCCAGCAGAGCACAGCCCCCCTCTGACACGTGGGAGGACCCAGCAGAGCACGGTCCCACTCTGACATGTGGGAGGACCCAATGGAGCACTACCCCCCTCTGACACATGGGAGGACCCAGCGGAGCACGGCCCCACTCTTACACACGGGAGGACCTAGTGGAGCACGGCCCCCCTCTGACACACGGGAGGACCCAGCGGAGC